CGGACTTTCATGTGACAACCCAAACAGTACAGGAGAGCCAGACACCACCCAGGCTTACATTTTATAAACCGAGCAGTACAGCTCAATCCCGCTTAACACGAGAACCAGACACCGTATGGGTTTTAACGTTACAATCTGAATAGTACAGCTTAATCCTGTGACGCAACCACACAAGTACCAAACACCCCGGTGGACTATACATCCAATACCATCGGTGGGTAACTGCCCCACTTCTGATGATTAATATTGAATTCAACTTTTAATCCATTCATTAAGTGAATGCAAATCACAAGTGAAAAAATCCCTTATGAACTACTTTTTCATCGTGGTTCTGCACTTATGTTATTACATATAGTAAACCGGAGCGACTAGTCAAGAAAAAAGAAGGCAAGCCAATCACTATCATTTGAGAACAGACAAACAGGTGGTTAGAACACTTTGAAGAACCCTTGAATGCATTAACCCAACCGAACTCACCAGACATCGATGCAGTGCACAAACACCTACCCATGGACGTCACCTCGCCAACGATCGAAGAAATCAGCATGGCCATCAGACAAATCAAGAGTGGAAAAGCTGCGGAACCGGACAACGTACAAACTGAAGCACTAAAGTCAGACATATAGGTAACTGCGAACACGCTCCACATCCTAGTTAGCAAGATCCGGGAAGATCAACAAGTGCCGACAGACTGGAAAGAAGGATACCTTATCAAGATACCAAAGAAAGGAGGTCTCACAAAGTGTGAGAACTAAAAGGGTATCACACTACTATCAGTACCAGGAAACGTTTTCAACAGCAGTGTTCAAGAGAATCAGGGATTTATTAGACATCCATCGCAGAGTCTAATATGCTGGATTCCATAATGATAGACTTAATTAACCCTTTTTTGGAAAACTATAATTTATTCTTATTTATCACCAGTAGCTTCTTATTATGGCTGTTGCTTAGATGCAATTATGATTGGTGTAAATTATGGAACAAAGCGGAAGTTTTACGTTCATGGCTCTTTTGTCCGTTCACCCTAATAGGAATTAGGTCTTGGGTCAATGAGGACTTGAGAACTTAAACAAGTTGGAAAAACCTATTTAATAATTCAAGAATTCAGGAACAGTATAGAACGAAATGCTAACTGTTGTACGCTCGTCGACTGAGGATGTTTGCATTCGCTTGGCTCCAAAACCTTGTTGCATTTGTACTATTTAACCTTGTGTCAATTTAGTTCGATTATTTATTTACTCTAAAGAAGCGGTTTACATTAAGTTACGAAACGTCATAAATATATTTTCCTGCTCATTGCGATATAATAAGATATACATTTATTATTAATTTGAAGCTCTGCTGAATCTGTTCTTTAATACTTCAGCTGCTGTATCTCCCTTGAGTTCGATTATCAATCATCAGTTGCCATATTTTACCCAAAAATGCACTGATACGGTCGAGAATGGGGAAAGTCAGCTCTCAATTTCGAAATGCTCTCACATAGACACGTGCATACAACTGCTGCCAGATAATTCCTATTCACTTTCTTCTCGGGGTGGGGTGTTTTTTTATGAAATTGAGAGGACGAATACCTAATGTCCTGAGCTTTAACCAGGCAGATGAATATGGAGGATCCACCTACGGGAGTTGGAAAGCCCTGATCCCAAACCACTGGTGCACATGGAATTCAAGAACCTGAGGAAACAAAAGGCGTATGAATCTTTTATTGGTCACCGGCTACCATTCGTTGCACCGTTGCATTGTGGATTAGACCTCTAGGTCAATAGTGGTCTACTAAAAAAACTCCCTGATTCCGTTTGAGCACCCGGGTAGTATCCAAGCTCTCACACAAACCAAACAATTATTGTGGACCATATATATTTGGTGCCTCCTTGTACCGACGTGTGTTTAAATAAAAATGACATCAATGGAAAAACTTTTTTGGAACTGGGATTTTTTCCAACTTGACAGTTCGGTTTTAGATTACTGTTGATGAACTTGGGAAGGAACTTTTGTGACGGACGGTCTCCATAAGAATCGATCGTGTACCGACCTAGACTTGATTAACTGCGTTTGAAAAACCATATTTCATTCTTATTTATCACCAGTATTTTTTTCCTACGCAGCCATTTACCATTACTGCCATCAATTTTAGGATGTCCCCACCTGAGTACAACAAATATGTACATCAGTAATATTTTATTCGGTTTCATACCTTGATATGCATATCATTAAACTATACGAAACCATGTTTACAATAACATCCAAATAAATTAGTTTGCGCGTATTAACAAAACACTATAATTCAAAGTCTGAAACGTTCAAGGTCATAAACAGCTGACGAGAACTTGACGAAATCAAGTACATTCATATCGATCTGACTAAACGTTTGATCCTACTCAATTTAAATAGGGTCTATTAGGTTGATGATTACTCGATATCAGTGCGAAATATGGCTGCAGATAAAGTAATTATTTTAACGGAAAATACATTTTCTTACTCACATCATTTCAATCTACACTTCAACTGATCAGGTTTACATTATATTCTTACTTTTATGATACAGCTGGGATTATTTCTATGTTCCCAGTTATTCTAAAGTAGTCCATGATATTGCACTAGGTCACATGTAATTACAGAAAAAATTTCCTACAAGACATTGTGATTAATGTTACTTGGAACTTTACATTTTTTTTTCCTTATTAAGCAATTTTAAGAAACCAACAACTGCTGAAAAACAAAAACACTTCTGTAAGTTAGCTGGACCTTTAAAAGTTTATATGGTTTCGGACCTGGAATCCATCAGCCAACAACATAAACACATGTTTTCTTTATTTTATGAAACTAGTAATAACCACTTTTTCTATATACAGATGAGAATTACAGATCAATAAGTAGTGTGGAAATACATTAATAAAACTATCAGTAAATATATATAATGCAAAATTTAGACGGCACGCATTTGTTAAATTAGGCAGAAATTTTATTTCATAACCTTTTATTCATCGTAAACAGAGGCTTTAAGCAACATATTTCCAGCTTAATAATTTGACCGAATAAGGTTATGTTCATTAATTGACAGTTAGTTCTAAAAAGAAAGACATCAGTAATAGATATATTCAATGTGAAAATCACGATGTTAATCAGCATAAATATAAGTGTGATAAGAATACAATACAAATATAACTCAAATAAAACTGCTGTTTAGCAACATCCCGCTTAACATCTTTTTCTTTTTATCTTGCCATACTAGAGATTCAAACGTGATCAACAGTTTGGGTCGAAAAGTTTAGATTTGGATATATGTATAAATCACCTTAATAGAAAATAGGTTTGCGAAATACTACAGTCTAAATTACGCCTGGGTTTAACATAGTGTGCTTGGTATTTTCATCATGTAAAAGTAACTGATATCTGTAAATGTGATTAATGTAGTCAAACGAATTCCTTGATATGATAAGCCAAGATGACACTCCTAACAAGTTACACCATTTTTCACGAGAGCAGGAAGTGTGCCGTAAACATTTACAATTTTTTGTTGAAGGTTCCTGAAATAACAGATGATTTGAATCACTTTTCTGTCTCACTCTCTGCTGTATACTGTTATATCCTAGTGAAGATTACATTACGATTAACGTCTGAGATCAATTAATGGATCAATACTATTTATATATTCTTATGGTATAAATATTCAGTAACTAGTTCATGTATATCTATATTCCCCTTGTTATAAGCTTCATTTTGACCTAGACATTATTATTGTATGATTGACTGTTCTTAAGCTATGTTCAGTTTATTGACTACTGCCCGCTACGCTCACAGCCACTTTTTGGCTTTAGTGTGTAGAAGTGTTATTTCCTATTTTATGGTGCGTCGCGGTCTGTTTGGTTGGTATATAAACCCAGTATGTTTGAAATATATGATTCGCATAGTGGTAGATGGTATTGGTGTTCTGGACTCAAATGGACGGGCTAGGCGAACATACGACGAATAAGGACGATAGGTTGCTCATACCGGTCGGACGTCACTGATTTGGTACAGTGCTAAGATTGTATAAGTCGTATTTTGATTGGTGGATAAATCACGTGATAACTAGCCGAACATAAAGTCACAAGATATACTATGCTTGCACGATATGATAATAAAACTGGTCTAGATGATCGACTTTATAATACCACTAGATTGGACGGTACACAGTACAGAGACTAATGCGCGCTGTATTAAATACATGATTTACGACCAAGAATAGAGAACCAGTGTAACGCTAGATAGAACTTTATCCCACATAATTACAAGCAGTCACTCAGAGAGTTCGCAGAAATCAGTAAGCGGAAAGAAAATCACATATTTAATAGTCAGTACGTTAGGTGGTTGTTTGTCAATACTCAATGACCAATCACATTTACTTTCACTACAATAGTTTTTTTTTAAAAACTCAACCAGAATGATGTCTGCGTATTGTTCGTCAATTTCCATGATATAAAACTAGAATTAGATCAACTTTATGCACATGACAAACTGAACAGAAAAATAATCATCATCCTTAACAAGGAACTAACAAATACACTAATGGAAGTAAGTGAAGTCTATCTCGTTCTGATGTACAAAAAACACACGTCAGAGACTTCCAGTAATGATCTAAAATGCATGGTCAAAGTTTAACCTGTTAAATCTACAAATGTCACGCTTTAAATTAGTTAGGTTGCAATTTTTACACGAACCACTGCACTGTTCCAAAATCCATAGATTTCAATTGATTCGCCAATGTATCACTTAAAACATAGGAAATAAGCATTGTCTACACCAAACATTCAGAAATGTAAATGTATTTGGCTGAAAGGCTTAGAAATGTCTGAAGTTCAGGAGCGAGTAGTTTCCCCTAGTTCCAAAACGTTTTCTGTAAACCATTCATGAAAACATCAAAAAACCTGTAATGGTTGTTCTGATTGATTTTTAATGGCTAACAAGACCACCTAATTAGTACTGAAGACTAGTATTCAATTGAGATCACAACTTGTAGTGTGTGTAACAAAGGTAATTATTTTAACTACGCTTTACAAGAAATTACAGATAACCATTTACTGACTCATTATCTATCAAAGGAAAAAGGCATTCAAATTACATAAAAACACCAGTAGCATGATCAATAAAAGTGACGTTAAGACATTTGTACAAGCAAAAACCCCACCCAAAAAGAATATTTTTTCGAAGATTAGTTTTTTTACATAACTAATAAGTGTATGCACGAATAAATAGATGTATAAGTAAGTAATGAATAAAAAACAATCTTTCTTTTTTTCCATTTATTCTTATCCAGAGGAAGTACTTCAGTCCTGTCGATATGATACCTCAATTTCTTTGAATCCAGTCGATGAAGTTTCTAGGTGACAGCGAGATGAGGCGTTCAGCGACTACTCGTTTCCGTAACTGATTACATTATTGTCACCTTTTCCTTACTTACGGCTACCTTGAGGATCATTTAGCCATACTTTATTTGGACACGCTCCCAACTGATCGTTATAACTGTTATTCGGAACGACCATGGGAAAGCCAATTTCAAATGGATGTATCGGTAAAGCCACTTGATCAAAACTCTTGGCAAGCGTATTGCTAGGGATGGACCTTAAAAATTAACTAGTAAGGACCTTTGTCAGTAAGTAATGATTCGGTAATACATCGTTAGGACTGATGTAGTTAAATAAAACCATGTAAAACTTTCCCGCTTCTCTTGATTTCGATGGTGCTTTCTCATACGCACCGACGGGACTTTTCATTTGGGTATTTGGATGCAAAGCTGGCGGGCGTTTGTCAGATTACGTGATTGAAATGAATGTGACGTGAACCGTGACCGACTGTTCGCTATAACTTCAGCTGAAAGATAGCATTGACAAGAATCCTCAGTACATTACTAATTGATCTTGCTAGTTGATATCAGAACAAGATAGGGAAATCCCGGATAATTTGAAAATGTTTCGCTGAAGAATAAATAGTGGGCACCGCTTGTCAACCAACCGAAACCGCGACTATTTCGGCCACGAAAACGGCACCAACAGGATTCGTATAATCACTCTGCAAAGCTACCAATTCATGACGAAATGATTTATTAATAGATTATGCGGTTAGCTGTTTTTTCCTAGGTGAAAATTTCAGGAACAGATTTCACATAATGATCAATGAAATCAGTAAACGACTTAAGAGTGAATACGTCACTGTATCATGTGTTCTTCAAATATCATAATAGTTGATCATGACACTTAGTCATAACAATAGAATGGTTGTTACATTTCAGTAGCAGATGAGAGTGGCTAGGAAACTTACTAATTTTCTAAACTTTAAATTGCTGGGCAATATTTATCCGTTTTCTTTGATAAGTGACCGAACACGCTGTGTAACGGTAATTCATGTTTCTGAAGAGAACGTTTAGTTTTACTTGAAAATTTTCAGTCTTGAATGTATAAACAAATTGAACAGCTTCATAATAAGAAACTCAATTAGAATGGGTATATATACTTTACAAGATCAATTGGCCATGCAAAAAGTAGTCAAAATTTATCAATCAATTATAACAGTAAATAGTGAGAATTGAAATAGAAAACTTACATAATGTCATATCATCCCACCATATTAAATGTGATCGGATGCCGGAAATATTTAATTGAATGCTCAGTCTGTTAACATATTCGTCTTAGGTTATAAGCGACACGAGGTTAATCCATCTTAGAAAATACGCAACTAAGACCAATATTTCTACAACAAAATTGGCAAAAAAGCTAAGCATTTAAAAAAAGAGCGTTAAAAATTGTTTATTTAACGGCTAGTCGGGTTATGTGTTGAAAGCATTTGCGAAAAGGACAATAGGGTGAAGTGTAAACACTTTTCTGTTTGGTGGAAGCATCAAACAATAAACAAGAAATGGTGATCAGACGCAAACAGGAAAATAAAACAAGTGAAGATGAAGAAAATAAAAATCAAGTAAACAAAGGATTATTGAAAAACCGGAAGATGGCATTTATAAAAAACTACATTCTACAACAAAATATAATATTATCAAGTAAAAGTAGAGATCATTAAAAAGTGAGCTGCGGTTGACTCCATTATTCAAATTTCTGGAAATTCCACTCGATAATTGCCTTAGGTTAATTAAACACAAGCTTTCAAATAACACAGATATCAACTTATACATATAGGTTCGATTAAATGTAATTATAAAACAACAATTTGAAGATATTCTATGCAATTTCGCAAATACAAAATAAGGATGAGAAAACCAGATATCTACCGTAGCTTCATACTGCAATGGTATTTTATTTTACCGTCTTTCACAAAAAAGTGTATATTTGTACATTGCATGAAGAGGGCAGATGCAAACGCGTTCTTGTAATAAATAAGTAAATAAATAAATAAATAAATAAAACATGTAAATGCATATCCTACAATTTACATTAATCACAATACACAGAAAACAAATGAAATCAGATGATTAGTTTGCTTTATCATACTAGTTAACACACGGAAAAGCACAGAGAAAGATAATAAGCCATACAAGGATACCACTTGTTATAAAGAAACTAGACATCATGACAGATGACTAACTCCACATGTTGTAAAGCGAGGTAAAGGCGGAAGAATTAAATGGAAAAAATGATTACAATTCTTTGCGAGTGTAATATTCATAAGGGTAAATTAGTGAGTTATATGATACCAAATAAATTTACAGGCGAGATAATAACAATTGTAAATATTGGTAGGACTTGTGATGGAAGATATATTTTCTCTTGGAAAATAGATACACTGATCATAAATATTAACCACACGACATCATAACTACAGTAAGCCTAGACCAGAATTAGTGGGCACAACACTTTGTGCATTTGTATTTATCATACCAGTTTGTAGACCAGCATTAATCTGAACTGAATTTGGACTAGCAGCTAACCAGTTAGGCTGGCCAGCATAACTCACGGGAGTTGACGAAATATCTGGTGGTGCAGTTACTCCAGATGGTGCACCTCTTGATGCCCATCCACTAGTAGTTGTTGTTGTATCCTGACTGAAAATATACGGTTGTACTGGGTGAGATGATTGTATTGTACGTGTTAATAAGGGAACAGAACCAGGATTTGATGTTACACCAGTTGGTAGAGCATTCGACTGAACACCTCGTCTAGCTACGACAAGACCGGAACGCGTACTTGAAACAGTTAGATCGATATTTTTATTATCACAACAACTACGACGACGGAAAACTCGTGCGAAGAAACGTTTCCATGATACAAGTGTTTTTCCACTCCATATCCAGACACCACTTGTTATACCAACAATCAATGTCATAAGATATTTAATCATAAATAATTCAAATTCCGGTTTTTCTAATGCAGATATTTTGGCAAATATATTTTGACTAACAGAAATATCGGAATTGTCTGATCGGGATGAACTACCGGCTTCAACCAGTCGTTTGAAATGTCCAGGACATATAGAATCGGCTAGTTGATTAGGATCCACTTTACGACATACTTCAGTTGTATACCATGTAAGCATCCATTTTTCAGACATTCTAGATTCATGTAAATAACAGGCGATTACTACTAATGCTGGTACAATGTACAGTAAACTAAATACACCAATTCGCATAATTAATTTCTCTAAGTCATCTGTTTTTGAACCTCCAGTTTTAATGATTGTACGAATTCTAAATAATGATACAAAACCAGCAAACAGGAAACAAGTTCCAATCAGAAGATACAAACATAATGGGGCAATTAAAAATGCTCTCAGTATAACTGGATCTGTTAATCCGGTAAAGCATACACCAGATAATGGATCGCCGTCAACCTTTCCCAAAGCTAATATTCCAATTGTTTTAGCAGCTGGAATAGCCCATGCAGCAAAGTGTAAATACTGTGCATTACGTGATATAGCTTCATGTGCCCAATGACATTTAGCAGCTAAATACCAAGTGATTGTTAAAACCACCCACCAAATAGAACTAGCCATAGAAAAGAAGTAAAGCAACATGAATAAAATGATGCATCCTTCAAACTTTGTTCCCTGAGTAACGAGTCGCGGCATTTCAATTTGACCACTGAGAGATTGTGGTGCTGGAAAAGGCCCAGAGCAAGCGACCTAGCAGAGTAAAATAATTAGACATAGTTTAAGCACAAAATCTTTACACAGTGGTAGATTATACTCACGACGAGTTTTTTAAAAGTTGATAACAGAGAGTTCGTTATACAAATAATTTTAATCCACTTGGATGATTACTGAAGGTCACATCTCGACAATCCTAAATTATCTGCATGTTAAACAATGGGAACCATCCATCAAAAAATTTGAAATGTATGTCTTTTAACAAAAACATAATCTGACAATATAACATTACCTCAGAAGATACAGCATTCCTACTATATATATATATATATATATATATATATATATATATATATATATATATATATATATATATATATATATAGTACAGTGGCATAAAAAGTTAAATGTAAACCATTGAGTTTTTGGTTTGTAATCTCTCCCCTGTTAATAACCTATGTAACACGCTTGGAGAGTACATGCATTCGGTTTTTAGCCACACTTCATTTGGAAGCTAGTGCTGTTGCGAATCGGTTACCCAAATTGAAGTAGTTAGAAGCTGGGATCCGAACTTGTCACCTAGCAGCCAGACGTTGAGAGGTCTAACCGACAGCTCCGAGTTTCACTAGCCCTCAAACAAATATGATTCATAGCTTCTAGTATATAAAAGTATACAAAATGGCTGTTACATTACTTTCCTTGTTATACTTCTGGTGTTAGTTGTTATACTGATAATAGATGCTTAATGACAATATTGAATTGTAGAAAACTTGTGGCCCGACCGTAGCTGTTACCTTGACATGATCAGGCTTGCCTATCGTGATGACCCAAACGAGCTATATTGGCCGGAACATATGCTCCTGTAGGTCTTGCCATGCCAGGAAGGTCGATTGGAGAACGGTAAGACTAAAAGCAGCAACTCAAGGTCTGAGAGCGAAATCGTGCTCCTGACTGTGAAGGGGTGGAACAGCAGTAAGGTGTTTCCCTCGAGCAACCAGTATCTGCAACGATGCTTCCTTCTCACAAGGAAGGAAGGGATTAGAAAATGTCGACCCTAAAAATGTCACACCTCATCTTACCTCGCGAATTTTCGTCTCCGGTGATAAAGCCTTTTGAAGAACGGAACTAATACGTTAAAAACCTCTTACTATAAGGCCGTGCGTAACCGGCCTTAAGCAGTTGTCTCTTGAGCTCTGCGGTCATGTTTTCCGGTCGTTAAGACCAGCACTAATCCAACTTCCTTTTCAGGTTACTCAAGAAACACCCTTTCACGGTGTGGGCAGCCGGAAAGTGATATCACCCCTCATACCGTAACATCGCACGAGACCAAGTTGGTCACATTCGAATCCTTCCTACACCTTTTAATAAATCTTATCTCCACGACTAATCCTTGTCTCGTCCCTCTATCACCTCACACCGCTAGTGCGAACGATTCGAGTACGCGGAACGTTATTCCTGGTCTTCTGAAACCACGCTCTAAACTACACGTAGGAGCGTTTAACGTCTGAACACTATGCCAAATAGGACAACAGGCTTCCTTAGCTAGGACTTTAGAATCCCACGCCATCGATGTGTGCTGCGTCTCCGAAACGCGCATACAGGATCCGAGTAGCGTCATTCATTTGACATCAACATGTCAAAACAAAGAACCAACTCGATTCACACTTCGTGCATCTGGAAGCCCAAATGTTGCTTCTCGTGGACTCGCCGGCGTAGGTATAGCATTGAGTCCTAGGGCAGAACTGGCTCTCTTAGACTGAATCCCAGCAGACAGTCGTCTGTGCGCTGTCCGACTAAACGGAACAATAAGGACTCGGAAAGATAGGGATATTTGTCGTCTCTGCCTACTCTCCCACTGACTGTAGCTCAGATAAGGTAAAAGATGAGTATTACAGAAGGATTCCTGACCTCCAAAATATTAGGCGCTCTGGTGGCTGTTGAGTTTAATGTTCAAGTAGGTAAACTAAGCGAAAAAAGCACCTGTGTAGATGTCATAGTGTCGTAGCTCAAAGAACAGATAATGGTGACCGTCTGTTGCAGCTGTGCTCAGATAACCGCCTATTTCTAGCAAATACTAACTTCAAGCATAAGGAAAAACATCTTTTGATATGGTGATCCCGAATTTGTCCCAACGCTGTACCCAAATAGATTACATCGCTATCAACCAGCGATGGAGAGGCTTGATAGAAGACAGTTACTCATTCTGGGGCACATGCTTAGATTTAGATCATGCTCTAGTGCGAGCGCGTATTTGTCTGCGTCTTACTGGACGTAGGAAAGACGCTGCAAGTAAACCTCTTAGGGCCCTACTTAATGATAGTCAAGCTAAGAGTATATTTCAGGAACAACTAGGAAAACAGTTAGGCAGCCATGTATGTGATGCCCAACCCGAGGCAGCATGGAATGATATCCGAAAAGCTGTGGAAACAGCAGTGATATCTGCTAGTACAATGAACCATAAGGTTAGGGAGAAACACTGAGTCTCAGCAGCATTTACCGCACTGATAGATGCTCGAAAACTAATCCCATCTGGCTCTGAACATAACGAAGAGCGGAGTCAGCTTAAGCGCAAGCTGACAAGAAGCCTGCGCAATGATCGTGAACAGTGGTGGGTAGCGAAAGCAAGAGAGATGGAAAAGGCAGCGGCAATAAGTAATAGCAGACAATTGTTCTGACTTGTTAGGGAAACCGGTATTAAGAACCCGATTGTTAGCGAAACAATCTCAGAGAAAGATGGACATATTATACATTCTCAATCCAGGAGATTGGATCGATGGGCAGAACACTTCAGGGATCAGTTTAACTGGCCTTCAGCCACACTTCGATTTCCCACGGTCTACAGTCAACCTGAATGGCAGGCTGATGTAAGTTCTCCAAGTCTTTACGAAGTTGAAAAAACTATAGGAAATCTGAAGCGAGGGAGAGCAGTAGGCCCTGACAGGTTTACCCCTGAGATTTTACAGATGGCGGTCCAGCATTAGCAGCGAGATAGAATCTAGGGACTGGACATCATCCCATCTGACTGGTCTCAATCTTTGAACGTTCCATTCTATAGAGGACAAAAGTCCTCTTGTGACAATCACAGAGGAATTAGTTTTACTAATATAGCGTCTAAAATATTAGCTTCAATAATACTTCGGCGAGTAACTTAAGACCGTGAAGAACAGACTAGGGAAAATCAAGCTGGTTTACGACCTGGACGTGGCTCTATAGATCAGATCATTTATTTTACTTTATTTAAACATATAAACATTGATGCAAGGAGGCACCAAATAGATATGCGCCACATAAATCATTCGATTTGTGTGAGGGCTGTGATACTGCCCGGGTGCCCAGACCGAAGCACGATCAAATACTCACACCACATCAGGTCCTAGAACATAGAAACACATTTAGACGTCTCATAATAGTAGTATCTCTCGAGCTTAAGGTGGCATTTGACTCTGTTGATCGTGAGGTTCTATGGCAGTGTTTGTCACTGAAAGGAGTACCAAAGAAGTACATTAACCTTAAACAGGATCTCTACTCGAACACAACTGGTCGAGTGAGAGCTTATGGCGAACTGTCATCAGAATTGATTACCTCAAGTGGTGTTCGTCAGGGCTGTCTACTCTCTCTATTCTTGTTTAACTTCATCGTTGACGTGTTTTTAGAAATAACATTTACCTCATCTCAATTTCCAGGCGTTGAACTTTTACCGGCAGATTTACTTGTTGACTTAGAATGTGCCGATGACATAGTTCTATTTGGTAAACACGTCGACAAAACCCAGAATCTTCTGGCCACCGTAAGCAATAATGAAAGCGTATTCGGGATGCGATTCACCCTCTCGAAATGCAAGATGTTGCTTCAGGATTGTGTTGCATCGGCATCTGAACTAATGATAAGGAGTGAAGTAGTTGAGCGTGTCGACCGCTTCACTTGTCTTAGGAGTTTCATCAGCCCTTACAGTCTGGTGTGTGATGAAATCTCAGCACGGATACAGAAGGCTCGACTAGCTTTTGCCAACTTGAGTCGTTTATGACGTAGGCGAGATATCCATCTATCAACCAAAGGACGGATTTGCCGCACAGCAGTTCGTTCCGTCCTACTTTATGGAAGTGAAACATGACCGGTGAAAGTAGAGGATATTTGTAGGTTGCTAGTATTCGACCATAGGTATCTTCGAAACACTGTCCGCATATCCTGGGACTACCCGGTAAGCAATGCAGGTGTTAGGAGACGGGAACCAGATAAGGATGAAAAATCAATCAAAGTTCTGAAACTTCATCAGTTGAGATAGCTAGGACATGTGTTATGTATGCCCAACCGCCAATGTTTTATGGTTTGGGGATAGGTTGGAAAAAAGCTATAGGCGGCCAGACCAAAACATGGCACAAATCCATGAAGTCATTGACAAGTGGACTGAGCTATGTGGGTAGGTGTAGACTACCTGGTTAGGATCCGCGAGACGATGGCAACCGATGGTTAGAGACCTTAATTAACATGGCTCAAAATCGTATGCAATGACGCAGGTGCATCCACTTTGTTTCCTCCCAAATCCTAATCTTTTCATTCATGTCCCTTTTTTTCTCTTTCCAAATCTACTTCACTGGATTATACTTCTTGAATAACATCTTCAAAACTTAATCTTTTCGATCACTGCTTATACTTTTACAACCTCTACCACCATAGGATTTGGACCGACAATTGTATCTCTGTGCTAAAGTGATATGGTAACTTGAACTGATGTACGCACATACGAAGTTCTACGTTGTTGTTGACTGACTGTGGATAGTTTGTTGCTGAAACTCATAACCTGAACTCAGTTTCGTACTTCGAAAGGATTGAATAATAGTTTTCCAGTGAAATGAACTTTTAAGGTTAGTATGTTGAGATTAAAAGTTGGATTCGTAGGATGTAAAGTTAAGAGTTAGGATCTAGCTGGATTACATTATTTTGAGTTTCATCGCTATCTAGCGCTACTAAGTTCATCAATGGTGTTAAAATCCCCAATTCACTGTAATTTTGTCGCTTTTCCACATTTTAGAACTCTTATATGAAACCTAGATTCTGATTAGCTGTTCTTCATTGGGTATTCTAAAGATCGTGTCGAAAATCACACTCATTTTATTTCGAAAGCACCCCAAAAATATTTTTCAACTATATTAAGTCAGGCGATGTGATTCAGACGCTTTACGACGTAATATAGTAGGACTGGGATTGGTTCATACGCCATTTGTTCCTTCAGGATCCTACAGTCCATGTGCATCAGTGGTTTGGAATCAGGGTTTTTCAACTCCCCAGTTGAATCCTCCATATCCAAGGACATTAGGAATAGAGGATATTCATAGGCAACTAGTATTCGACCAGGTTCTAGGTTGTGACGGACTAACTAATGGACTAATACCACACCTTAATGATTCAAATAGATCATTAGTATGGGAATGATGTTATAATGACTTGAATAATTATATTACTCTAGCCACTGAAGCATCTATCACAAAAATTATAATGTCTTAGTGCACAAACTAAACAATAGAATTTTTGACTTACACCGTCATTTAAAATAAAACCTGCAACGTATGTCAGAGCCACCATCAGGTAACAAGCTGACAAAAATATTATCGGTCTCTCGGGGTACTGAAAACGAGGCATATCAATGAGGAAGGTGAGAACTGTAAATGACGTAGATGCTGCACACAAGAAACTCCAGAGACCGATCCACAAGCGAGAAAATTTCCTGGAAGAAGAATCGCCAAAAAGGAAATCACCGCAAGGAATTCCACAGTCTTGAATTATTTGATTCCTGCTCATTCTTATACGAAATTCAAAACTCGGAGGAACCTAGAACGTTAATACATATTAAGGAATCCTGTACAACCTACTCTCATATGAACAGGGCACACGAACGAAGGCTCCTTAGAAACCCGTTTTTCTGTCTTATTTTCAGCTATACACAACGAATCTTCTGGGAAACGATCACAATTCATTATTTCTGGCCACTAGGGAAAAATAAGGTACGAATAAGAACCACCTCAAAATGAAAACCCCGCATAAGTGGTTCACAGTCCTTACGGTTTTGTTCACACAAAGATCGACAAGGAGGTAACGGTTTTTTCATTCCAGTACAGACAGGGAAAAATAATGAGCATAAAAACAACTTTAAGGAAGAACTGCAAGTAGTTCGAACTAATGGTGTATATTGACCGATCTCCTGGGCGGCATCATCTTGAGTAGCGTGCCCCATATCATTTGGGAATATAGTGATGTTGTATGGTAGATCCTGACAAGCCTTTATACGTATAGGTTCGCATTTAGGTGTTTCAGCGTATGGATCTTCCAAACCCCGCTGTATATAGCAGTAAGAGTGAGAGAAAATGTGTACGACGATGAAGAAAGTCTTCAAACACAAGGACATTTGGACCCACAATGGCGCCTAAATATTTGTTTGATTAACGCTCCATTTGTATGGTTATTGACTCTAAAAAACACAAAGCAAAAGAGTATGAAGTAAGGAGTTATCCACATACTGCACATCAATAAGTTATTTGTATAAACTTGAAATAGTGTCGATCGTTCCTTAGGCTTCACAAAATACTCCCGAAATCGAGCCACTGTCGGTTACACGGCTTACACGGGATATTGCTACCAGACTCAAAAATTATCCAAGGCTCCTTCATGCAGCGTTCACTGTTTCTAATGACGTGAAGGATGTTCTGTTGGCCAGTAGCTTGCTGAAATCAGGAGAGGATATGAACATACAGTTTGGTCAATCATATCCTGAGCTCAAAGCCGCGCTTCCACTGGACGTTACTTTCAGGCCGAGGTTTTTAGTTTTATATTTCTAGGATTCTCGCAGAGCTGGATGAATTATTTTTTCTTGATTTATGGAAGATAACTCAATTCTTAACTATTACTATATAAACTGTGAATTTCACGCCATATGATAAGTTCTGAGTTTAACATACGGTATTTATGATCATATTCATACAATGATTCATAATCATATAATTACATATATTCATTTTGACTATACGATCAAACTATACTCTGTCACTTTGAAACCATATATAATCATATTTGACGAAGATTTGCATTTCATATCTGTATTCTGTTCCTTAAGGAATATATGGTTATATCGTATTTGAATGCTTTAACCCACGTACTTTATGTATCTACAGGATCTATTCAAACCTCTACCTAATATCAAGAAATATATTTAACCGTGTATGTTAAAGGACTGTATTCACTATTTTATGAACAATCATTTAAATCATATTTGGATACTATAAATCATTTAATTTCTAAAATTACCTGTCCAGTGCGGTGAGTCTGTCATAGCTTTTTTTGACAGTATTTTTTTTCCAAAAAGCTGTTTCATATATTTGTTCAAGAATCAACATTATTAATCTTCTAAACTACTTGTCTCTGCACCTCCCAATTTTTACTAATACGGACTTTCAGTTTATATATGTATCACGTACCGTACTTTTTTGATTGTTTAATACTAATTATCGACATTTCTAAATTACTTTAATATATAAGGCTATCTTTCGTGTCATATGTGTTAAAATTTATACAACTTGCTCCTTTATATTCTATTTTGCCTCCACACAGATACTGACATAAATACTTCAACCCCACTACGATCTTCCTGCCATTGTCATCTTTTGTTTTTAACACCACTAATCCTCACGATACATTGACTCTTGGTTAAAACATAGATTTGGATTTCTAGACTAATTTGAGCCCTCGGAATTGATTTTTTCACCCCTTTCTATTTCCAACATTCTGTTCAATCCACTTGCTATACGTCACTTCCTTATCATGCCACGAAAGAAAATGAAGACCCCTGCTTGTAGGCGTTCAGCCAAACGTAGGAAAACGACACAATTTAACACCACTACTAACACGATTTCCAACAGTTTCAACGAGACGAGCCACTCCGTTCATCCGGAAGCAGACAAGCTTTTACCAGTTGTCTCCATTCCAGACATGTTGAAAACTCTAATGGTAAACAGGGATGATAATCGCAACTACGACCATATGGATGGTATAAAAAAGTTGCAAGTAGACATGAACATTCTCAATCCGCTTAAATATCTCGCCAACCCCAACCTCACAGTGACTCCAGATCAAATGAATGACATAAAAATTTTCCTAGATCGTGTTGCATCAAAGGTATTTGAAAGAATAAGACGATCCAGCAATACAATTGCGTTTAATATACCGGATACACATGCCCTTAAAAATATCAAATCTAGTCTGCTTAGAGCCAGCAATATGACACACGTACCATGTGTATGCAAAAGATTAAAAAGAAGTCATCCTGGTATGCACTCACCGATCTTGTTCAAATTCAACTCATCTGTAGACGCCAGTGAATTTTTAAATTCCTCCAATTCATTGAGACAAAAACAGATTTTCAAGGATATTAAGACTCTTCCGGATAAAACACCATGCCAGCGAAAAGCAGGAAGAGATAACTACAGACCACCAGCGTCAAACTCTCAAACGCATCATAATCCTAATGGTCGTAAAGTTAAGTCCGATTCTAAGAGGACGTCTAGCTTAACAATTTTGCCGTCACCGAAAAACTCTTCTGAATCTCCTAAAGTTCAAAACCCAGAAGAAAGTAATCCCAATGTAGGTGGTGTTCATCCTCTTAAGAATGTTGACTTAGATTCAACCCGAAGTAGTTGTGCTGATGAAGAATGGGATAACACAATCCAAACTCCTGTTAGTGCAACACCCATTTACAGTAACTGTGCAACGGATAACAGGAAAACTAATCATAACATTCATATAACTGACCACGCACTTAACGTTGATATATTCGAACCTCGCAAACCATTGCAAGTATGTTTAACAGTACACAATCCTCTCCAACGGCTGCAATTAAACGCAACTCAATTTCGTAAATGTGCCCTTCAGCTTAGCAACCAATCAGAATGAGGTGGGAATTAGTACATCCGCCATCTTTGTAAGTAATGGCGGTCGGCTTTCTTCGTTCTGTGCTTCTTTCAGTTATTTCTTTTGTGTAGCTATGTAATTTAATGTTTCGGTCTGATAAAATGCCGCAATTAGTGTAATGTTCTACATGTTGGTGTGAAATTTACTTTGAATCAGCATTGTTTTTATGGTTTTTGCTGCTTCTACTCAAGTCAATGTATTTCTTCAGCCAAGCTGATTCGTCTTATGTTTTAAAATGGTAATCGGCTTTGTATTGACTTGTTTTCTAGATATCCAAAGCCGGAGTTCGTTTCTCTAGCTAGAATAATTGTTGTTGCTGCCTGTGACTCTAACTCCGCATGTTCTTTCCTAACCGTCCTTTATGATGTTATCGGAAAAATGAAAGGAAACAATCTCCGGTTTTTAATTTTCTTCAGTATTATGGACAACACTATCCCGCTAACGAGTCAAACTAATACGGAATGCCCAGCAGTAGGGGATATCAGTATTGTTTTCGAAAGAACTCAGACTTCCGATAACCATAGACGAAGTCACAGATACTACCAATCTATTGAAGAGGGTTTGTTATTAAAAATACGTCATATAGCAGTAATAGAGGGGTTGTACTCATTACCTAGTGCGTTAAAGCAAGCCTAACATTGAAAAGCTGGAAATCTGCTATCTATGTGTAGTGTATGTTTGCTGTTTCGGCCATAAAACGAAGCCGAAGGGTCATGATCACGGAGTAAAGAGGTAATTAACTGTTATTAAGCTCACTTTTTTATAGATCATACTTCACCACTCGCAAATCTGTGTTTTTTTACTGTATGACATCAACCGGTACCTAATATTTTCACCCTTACGATGAAAAATACCTGGAAATTCTCACCTTCATATTCGAATTATTTTTGGACAACTGCCTTCCAGTTTGATTGTTTCGTATGCCCTGGGAGACTAGATTCCTACATTATTCGTGGTTCCAGTATAACTTTCTCACGCAGTAAGTTCAGAGTAGACACTAGTCTTTCTAAATAAGCCTGTTAAGCTAATATCCGTATTTTGTATTTCAGTTAATCGATGAAGACATGTACCACGTGCATCTGCTGTATATTGCCATTTCACTCCAATTCTAACTGTTATATCTTACTTTTAAAAAATAAAATTGCTATATGCAGCACTTATAAACTTATTTGTTTTGATGGAGATAGGGGGGTTCATGGGATTTTTAGCAGGACTGTAGTAATATTCTCACTAAAGAGCTAAGCGAGTGCGTAAATCAATGTAAGGTACCATACAGGGTGCCTTTGAATTACTCGTGTTCCATTAGTGTCGGTAGAAGCATTACTTGCTTATCATATGACATTTGAATAAGAAGCTATGAGATTAGACGCAGGGACGGTTAGGATGTGTAACGCGTGTCCATCCATCAGCTGCCGTGGCAACTCACGGTGGCTAGAATAAGTTGCGAAAGGACCCGAGTCTATAGGTTTTCCAAGAAAATAACGAGGATATGTACCAAATCACTTTATGAAGAGCGCCTCCAACCACTTAACCTCTACCCGTCGGAGTATAGACGTCTTAGAGGTGACCTTCTAATGGCTTACAGTATCCTTAACACTTCTGGACATCCTCTTAAACACCTACTTAAACTTAGTTCCAGCACTAACCTAAGGGGTGACACCCAGAAACTGGAGACACAACTTCTACTCCTTAGGAGTTGTCAAATGCTGGAATTCGCTGCCCGCCGAGCTAGACCAAGCGACTTCTTAGGAGTCCTTTAAGCGGCAACTGGATATATTCTTAAGAATAGAATCATACTATGATTTACCAATTTATTTTCCCTCTTTTATTGTTAATATACCTAGGTTCCTGCCTGGAGGCTTTGGTAATCGCCTGCTACTAGACACGGAAGCCTGTTGAGCGAAAGCATCTACTCAGTTCACAACCATTTGAAGACATGAACTAGGTGTTGAGAGGCTCGCTTATCACAAGTTTCTTGCAACGATTAAGTAGATAAAACAAAGTAGCCTTAGATTCAAAAATTTATTCCAGAACGTTCATTAAGAATCGAATATCAAACAAAGGTTTAAACCAAGTTTCCGTTTAGAAGTTGTATTGGTAATGTTGAGCTGCAGTTTTTGTTGTTTTTTTCCAAACGAAAGAGTAAAAGAAGTAAGTCAAAAAATACTGGAAGTGGTTGTGAGACTAAAATGGACGTCCAGCATCCTTTTTATAGTCTGCTGTTAGTTGGGTCTCCCGTAAACAGTTCCATAGGGCCATAGTTCTAAGGGCGAAACAGTTCTTAGAATCTGTGAAGGCTCACTCCTGTTGCATTCTAAATGAAGAAATAGTGATGAATTTAGTCAGAAATGTGGAATAGATAAATAAACAAATTACATGTTTTTTAGCAAAGAATTTATGCACTTGCGATTTACCTTGAGTTCATAAATATTAGATAAGGTCAGCTACTACTACTTATGAAAAGCATAGCATGGGCTTAGTACC